TATCAATCCGTATTTATCAACCACTCCCTCTTCACACACTATACATTCCACTGCACCCCCTATATTTTTTCTTCTATCTTAATTCTTGAACGATCTTTTCCCATCAAATCATTCCAATTCATCTTCTTTACCAATCATTTCTTAATCTAGGCATTCATCACCCAATCCCCTCATGTTACTGGACATGACCACCTGTCACTCACGCACTGACCATGCCCTATCCACATTTATTTACCTCCTGACCGGGCTTTCCCCACAACAAGTCTCGCTTTGTGTGCACGATACATAAAAAAAAAATCAGTACGTCTTTTTTCTTTCTTTTTTAAAATACGTATAATTAATTAAATATAATCATGCCCTAATTTCCGATATGCGAGTCACTTCCGTCAAGTTTAAGGTTAAATGACATGGTCCGTTGGCTCAATGTTAAAACAATTGAAGTGCTTGACGTGAGCGAATGACTTGTCAAAAATGAGTTATGATTCGTCTAATTATGAAAAAAATGTGTGATTCACGACAAGAATTCGAGTTATTCTGCCTTAAAATGAAAACAAAGAGAAAAAGAGCAAGATGGAAATTAATAATAATAATAATAATAATAATAATAATAATAATAATAATAATAATAATAATATACAAAAAGGAAAAATAACGAGAATGAAAATAATAATAATATATTAATAATATGGCAATAATAATAACAACATAACAATAACGAGAGAAAAAATAACGAGAATTATATAATAATAATAATAATAATAATAATAATAATAATAATAATAATAATAATAATAATAATATAATATAATATAATAATAAATAATAAAAAGAAGAAGAAGAACAAGAAGGAGAGAAAGAAAAAATAACAAGAATGAAAGCTTGACGATGTAATTGAAAACAGATCGAACTGTTTGCAAGTCTAATAGCAATACAGAGTCAATTCATCACATGCGTGTTGCTGGGAGGAGGGGAGGGGGAAGGAGGAGGAGGAGGAGGAGGAGGGAGGAGGAGGAGGGAGGGGGAAGGAGGAAGGAGGAGGAGGAGGAGGAGGAGGAAGGAGGGAGAAGGGGGAGGAAGAAGGAGGGGTGGAAGGGTAGGAAGGAGGAGGAGAAAGAAGAAGAGGAGGAAGGGTAGGAAGGGGAAGGAGGAGGGGGTAGGAAGGGATAGGAAGGGGAGGAGAGAAGGAGAGTGGGGTACCAAAGAGCGGTTAGAAGCAGTGGAGAGGGGTAGAGGGGGAGAGAGGAGAGGAGGAAGGAAGGAGGAGAGTACGAAAGAGTAGAAAAGGCTGTCGTGAGATGAGTAAAGAGTCTTGGGAGGACAGGGAAGGGGGGTGAGGGGGGTGGGGGTGAGAGACCTTGCACATACGAAGATAAAAGATAGAGACGCATCGGTGTCGACCTTGCGTGATCCATCTCTGCAACATCTGCAATATCTTCGACCTTACGTCTCCTCCCTCTTTCTCACTCACTCTTTTCTTCAACATTTTTTTTTTTATTTTTTTCTCTACATGCAAACAGTAACTAACAGATAACGAATTTATTGTTCTTATCCCTCACAGAATGTAAACATACGCAACCGTGCACTGCAGATATTCTCGTACACGTACACGTACACGTACACACACAACAGATACACACACACACACACCCACATACTAATAATAATAATAATACCAACAATAATAACCATAACAACATTAATAATAATATCAAATAAAAATAAAAAAAACCCACAAATACACCCATTCATCATTCTCTTCCCCAAAAATGGATTAACGACCTGGATAACGGACGGATTCGGGATAAAAGAAATAAAGGACAGAGCAAAGTTTACGGTCCCTCTCAAGGTCTCCTTTCCGGCCCTGACACGGCAGGCTTCCCCCTTTCCTTCTTGCCAAACACCGCGCCAATTTGAATCACTCTTAATCACACTAATCGTTCGCAAATTACTTTCAATCTTCATCAAATTGTTAAGTTAAACGTCCCGGCTTTGATGTGAAATAATACATCCATAAAGAAATGGGTGAATAAATGCATAAAACTGCAATTAAGGTTTATCATCAATAATCGTGATAACGTAGCTGGCAACTTAGAGCGATGGAGGATACGGGAGTAAAACTATTACTAATACGATTACTCAGCAGCCGATAAACACAAGTACTTAACAACCTGTCTACATGCAGAATTTAGAACCGTATCAGTAGCTATCTATATTAGTAATTATCAGTAACTATCTAAATATATCTACATCCGCCTCTGCATGTACATGATGTATGTATACATCTGTGTGTGTGTACCTACCTCTTAGCCTTTATAAAAATATCAATTTGCAAACAGAAACGGATAACTACACATTCGATTAATCAAAAATCATATCAAATCCGTGAGCGTGAAAACAACGTTTCTAATCTTCAATGAAAACAACAATCACACTAAAGAATCATCACAATGCACCGGTTTCTCAACAAATAAAAAATGATACGCTACGTCATAATCACCATCATTGCGTCGCCCGGTAACCCTGCGATAAACCCCCTCCCCCTCCCCTCCCCATCCCCCACTGACCCCCTTGCCTGCAGTCATGCAATACAGGCAGTTGCGTAAAACTTCACATGTTTTTGCTTTTATCAGTCACTGTGACGTGCTCCCCCCCCCTTCCTACTCTCTCCTCTCTCTCTCTCCTCTCCTCTCTCTCCTCTCTCTCTCTCTCCTCTCTCTCCTCTCTCTCCTCCTCTCTCTCTCCTCTCCTCTCCTCCTCTCCTCTCCTTCCTCTCCTCCTCCCCTCCCTCAACCCCGGCCTCCAACCACTGATTTCTTGATAAGCGAAACGCATAAACAATAATAAAAGAAGAAACAAATGTATATACAAATACACAAAGCATATACGAAGCACAGTGATGCCTCTAGTGTTTGTTTACGAATTCCAACCCCGACGTCCCATGGGAAAATATGCCGACGCAAACTAAATTAAAAACAAAAAAAACGTATTTGTCACTGAACGCCACTTTGCACGGACAAAAAGAAGTACATGCAAGACAGACAGACAGACAGGCACACAAACAAACAGAGACAGACAGACAGACAGACAGACAGAGAGAGACAGACACAGACAGACAGAGAGACAGACTCACACACAACGACAACATTCACACTCTTTCCCGTGAAGTCTCGCGATTATTCCCAAGATCAAGGTCAGCGTTTGCGGAGAGAAGACAAAAGGAGGAATTTCTGCCAGTTCTGGGGGAGGAAGAAGGGGTGGAGGCGGAGTGGGAGCGAGAGTGAGTGAAGTGAGGGTGAGTGAAGAAGTGAGGGAGTGAGGGAGCGAGGGAGAGAGGGAGAGTGAGGGAAAGAAGGGGATTGAGAGGAGAGGAAGAGAGGGGTAGAGAAGGGAGAGGAGTGAGGAGAGAGAGGGGGAGAAGAGGTAGAGAGAGGGAGAAAGGAGAGGGAGCGAGAGGGAAGGAAGGAGAAGAGGAAGGAACACGAGATAACGAGGGGAAGAGGAGGTAGACCCGAGATCAAGAGGGAGAGAGACGGAGGATGAGGCGATAGAGGAGGAGCAGGGAGGGGAGGGGGGGGGGCTTTTTGCATGCTCGTAGGCCTTGGCGCATCACGTCCACAGCGCCGCCCTTGATGCAAGGTAATTGGCGAGTCCGTTTATCCGTCCGCTCGCCGGCGTTCGGATACACGAGGGCTTCGGGGCCGGTCTGCACATCCCAGCGCCAGCCCCAACGAGGCCAAAACAGGCGTCGTGGAAACCCTTTCCCACGGGCTGCTAGTATGACACCTTATTTCAGGCCTGAGGGTGTGACACACACGGAACAATAGTTGGCGTGTTGCGCTCGCCCCTCCCCTCCTCCTGCCCCCTGACCGCCCCCCCATTCCCTTCCCCCTCCTGTCCCCTGCCCCTCCTACACTTCACCCCCCCGTTCCCCCTCCCCTCCTTCCCTCCCTTCCCTCCGCCCAAAACGATTCAGTGGTTTCTCATGCACGTGCACTTAGTTAATTAATCTATAAATAGTGCGCATCCTCCGAATACAGGATAGAGGGTCAGGGAGAGGGAGAAGGGGGAGGAAATGAAGGGGAGGGAGGAGAGGAAAGGGAAGTGATTGGAAAAAGGGCTAAGGGGAAGGGAAGGGAAGGGAAGGAAAGTGATTGGGAAAAGGCTTAGGGGAAGGGAAGGGAAGGGAGGGGAAGGGAAGAGAAGGGAGGGGAGGGAGGGGAAAGGGAAGGGAAGGGAAGGGAGGGGGAGGGGAGGGGAAGGAAGGAAGGGAAGGGAAGGGAAGGGAAGGGAAGGAAAGGGAAGGGAGGGAAGGGCACAGACGGGAAGAGGAGAAAGAGAGGTGAAGATAGAACCGGAGAAGAAAAAGAGAATTACATCTTCAATTCACACTCCTGGTCACGACAGAACGCAAATATCACACCGGTCCAGCAGGACTCGTGATGTCCTTTGCACTCGAGGCAGGACCAGGGACACCCCCCCCCTCCCCCTTCCCTCCTGCACGGCGTGAGTGGCCTTCCTGCAGCCGAGGGGCGAGGGTGAGGAGGGGGCGGTGCACCTTCAAGCCTACCCACGGGAGGGAAAAAATCTTTGCCTCTTCTTCCAAGCCTCTTTCACAGGCACCACTTCTGGCACTGTCTGGGCCACACGACACTTGGCCACTTGTCACTCTCTCCCCTCCCCCCTCCCGGCCGCTTCAGCCCTCGTGACACTTTCTGGATCCTCACAGGCACATCCTCACGCCAACGCCGCCGCGGCAAAGGCGGCCTCGTCGCTCTCCCTGGCTCCCGCGCCTGGCAGAGCCTCACTCGCTCCTGCCCACATACGGCCTCACGATGCCGTTCCCGGCCATTTATTCCAGGCCTTTCGTCACTCGCGCTCACTCTCGGCCACGGCGAGCACTCCTGCGACGCCACACGAGCCGCGGGCCTCGCTGCACCGCGTGGAACGAGCGGAACGAGCCGCCGGCCCGGCTAATTCACCACAAAGCTTGCGCTGCCTACACTGTGGGACGGAAGCGGTGTGGCGGCTGAGGGAGCGGGCGAGCGTGTGCGTGCGCCCGACACAAAGCTCCGAACGTAACTGACTTGCTCGCCCTCGCTCGCTCGCGGGCTGGCTGTCTCCTCGCTGCCCGCCGCCGTCCTGCCCGCCGAGCACACGCACAATTACACTTCGCTTACATGCTCGCATTCATATTCAATGAGAAATAATGTTTTCACGGATACTTCCCAAATGTGAAGAAAAGGAAGGCAAAACAGAGGAGCACAGACAACAAACAAACAAAAAACATACACATACACACACACATACATACACAAACACACACACAATAAATCAAAAACAACAAACAGAAGCGCGGGGACGACACGTAGGCGCAAACACGAAATGTCACCACACCTTGCAATCTCTCTCTTCTTTTCGCGCATAAGTCACCATCAACGTTATCTCCCCCTGCCCTCTCCCCCCCCACCCCTTCCCCACCTCCACCCCCACTTATCTCATTGCTATCAATGAAATACATCAGTCATGACTCATGCCATTAGTCGCATTCTGTAGCACCAGTGGACAAGGTGGGATGGCCCCTGTCCTCCCTCCCTCTCCCCGCTCTCCCTCCCTCCCTCTTACTTACTCACTCCCTCCTCCCCCTCCTCCTCCTCTTTCTCTTTCGTCTCTCCCTCCTCTCTTTCATCTCCCCTCCTCTTTTTTTCTCTTTCCCTTTCACCTCCCACCTCCTCCTCTCTCTCTCTCGTCTCCTTCTCCTCCTCCTCCTCTTCTACTTCATCTCCCCTTCTTTCTCAACACCCCTAACTCATCCCCCTCCCCCCTCTCCCCTCCACTTCACCTACCTATCGAGTCCGCTGCCCAGCTGTTGGGTGGATGGACGGGGGGGGGGCACGGTCACCACGTGTTGCACTCACCTCTCTAAATCTAACGCAAAACTAGAGATCAATGTATGCAACATTTGCCATTATCAGTATTCTATCTCTTTGTTTTCCTTTTTCCCCTTCGTTTTTCTAGTGTTGTTCTTCGTCTCTTGCACTCTCTTCTACAATCTTACTTTGCCTAACACGTATCTTCTACATCGGTTCCCTTGTATAACCCTCTCCCTTCTCCCTGCTCCCTTCATCTTCCTTTTCCTCCTCTCCTCCTCCTCCTCCTCCTCCTTCCTCTCTCCTCCTCCCTCCTCTCTTCCCTCATCCTCCTACCCTCTCCTCACCCTCATCCTCCTCCTCTCTCCTTCCCCTCACCTCCCCTCCTTCGCCCCTTCCAAAAAAAAAAAAAAATACATATAACCAAGAAGCATCTCCAATACGCCCCCCCCCCTTCCCCCACTTTTTTTCTCTCTCTCCCCGTGTCCCCTCTACACCCCCCTCCCCCCGAGGAAAAAAAGGGAGCATATTCCGAGTAGCCGTGTTGTGACGTCATTCAGGAAGGAGAAAGAGGTGGAGGAAGAGGAGAAATAAGGAGAAAAAACAGGAAGGATGATAAAAGGGAAGAAGGGGAAGAGAGGGGAGAGATAACGAGGAGAAGAGGAGTAAATAAGAGGAGGAGGAGGAGGAGAAAGAAGAGGAACAAGAGAAGAGAAGAGAGAGGAGGAGGAAGAGGAAGAGGAAGAGGAGGCGGAGGAGGAGTAGTAAGGAGGAAGAAGAGGAGTAAGGAGTAAGGAAGAGGAGTAAGGATTAAGGGGGAGGAAGAAAAGAAAAAGGAAAAAAAAAAGAGAGAGAAGAACAAAAAAACAAAAATCAAAACAAACCAAGAGGCAGGAATAGGAAGAGGAGGAGGCCTTCCCCTAAAGCCCCAAACTCCCAAGAAAAAGGAAGAGCAGAGAAGCCCCAAGACTACGGCGTTGGCTTAGCGTGACTGTACATCCTGGCTGGTGTCGCCCCCTCCCCCCTCCTAGACCCCCCCCCCGCCCCTTTGCCATTCCCCCACCTGCTAACCCCCTCTTCTTTTTTAACCCCTACGTAGCCCCCTCCTGCCCTCTATCCTATTTATCTATCCATCCTATTTATCCATGTATCTCTATCTATCCATCCATCTATCTATCTATCTATCTTTCCATCTATCCTATCTATCTTATCCATCTAATCTATCTATTTATCTCTCCCTGGTTACCTTCCTCCTCCCCCTCCACCACCAATATCATCCCCTTCTCTTGATCCTTCCTTCTCTCTTCACCTTCACCATCAGCATCACCACCATCATCACATCACCCACACCAAACTCCTCCACCATCATCACCATCACCCCCCCCCCCTTCCTTATCCCCATCTCCCTTCCTTCCATACTTTCCTTTTCACTTCCTATAGCCCAAAAATAAATAAATAAATAAATAAATAAATAAATAAATAAATAAATAAATAAATAAATAAAATATCAAATAAATTACCAAACAAGTGCATCGCTCCTATACCCCCTCCCCCCCCCCCCCTCCCTTGAGTTCCTTAGACTGACCTTCCAAAAAAAAAAATTCTGTTCTTGAGCTCTTAATGGGATCTCCTTTGACGCCGGTCTGTTAAAACTGTGCGAGACCCGTATGTACAGACGTGCACATACACAGACACAAATGCATACCCGTCTTTCTATCCGATGTGTATACATTTATCTATCTGTACTGATAGATATGTATTTACTTCTCTGTATGTGCAATATCCGTTTAATGAATGCTCAGTGGGTCGGGCCTTTTTAACGAGACGGCCGTTAGTCTATATAGATATCCGAAAATATCCACATCCAGGTTAATATGCTTACAAGCCACTTATACATCCATAGACCCAACATCCACATTCCAAGATAACAACCTTATCCCACCCACACACACTGCGAAAACAAGTGCACATCCACCCACACACATCCATTCACAGATAACCTGAACACCACATCCCTAAACACCCACCACATCCACCACACACATCCATTCACAGATAACCTGTACACCCACATCCCTAAACACCCATCCACATCCACCCACATCCTTAGAGAAACAGATGTGACCCACCCCCTCCCCTCCCTACATCACCCCCTCCCTCCCTCCCCCTACATACCCCCTTCAACCCATTTTACATTTAACATTTCACAAAAGGTGTTCGGAAGGAGGGGGCTCCGGCGCGCAGGTGGAGGAGACCCAACGTGAAACCTCTTAAAGCACGATCCCTCAGGGTTGGCCACGGGCTCACCCGCCGGCCCGAATCACGACCCTGGGAGGTGCCACATCACATCACATCGTCTCCGCTATCATCATCACTGTCATCGTCATCACCACCGCTGTTACTATTCATCATTACCATCATCGAGTTTGTAATTAGCATCACCATCGTCCTCGTTTACCACCAACCATCTATTATTCTCCTCCACCACCTCCTCCTCCTCCTCCTCCTCCATATTATCATTATTATTCTCCCCCTTGTTCTCCTCAACATTATTCTCATTCTCCTCCTCCTCCTCCACTTTCTTCTCCTCCTCCTCCTCCTCCTCCTCCTGCACATTCTCCTCCTCCTCCTCCTCTACATTCTGTGCCTCCTCCATATTCTCCTCTGCCTCCTCACTTTCTTCTCCTTCTCCTCCTCCTCCACATTCTCTTCCTCCTCCTCCTTCTCCTTCTCCTCCTCCTCCTCTTTCTCCTCCCCCTTCCTCCCTCCCTCCTCCTCTTCTCCTCGTGCAAATGAATCACCAATATCAAACGGAATTGATGCGGCAATAATGCAATCACACACGCAGGTCCTACTCGGTTAGCAATACGATCTACTCCGCTCTGCTTGCGCTCTCACTTTCGCTCTCTGACACGAGAAACGCTCATCGAAATAATAAACAAATAAATAATAAACAAAAAATACAAATTACCGTTTCGTCCATTTAAAAGACCCGGAGAGAACGTACAAGTGTCTGGAATTCATTATATGGATCGCCCGCCACACCCCCTTTAAAAAAATAATAAAAAATAATAAAAAATAAAAAAAACAATAAAATAAAAAAGTATTTCTCCTACTACACCCCCTCCCCTTACCCCGCCCCCTTCTTCCTCCCATCACCCAAACCACCTCTCCCTATGCCCTTAACCCACCCTCTCATACCCCTGCAACTGGAGGCATCACCCGTCACCACACCGGCTCATCACCTCCGACGAGTTCCTTCAAACGGGGTCATCGCATCACAGAGCAGGCGGCGGCGTTCTGACATCACGTGACACTGTGACAGGAAGGCACCGTGCCATTAACCCTACATCCTGACAGGTCTTGCCCAACCGGTACTCATGCCAGGTGAGGATCAGAACAGGAGGATGAAGGATGAAAGGATGGAGGATAAAGGAAGACGGGTAACAGGAGGATGAAGGAGGAGGAATGGAAAGGAGAAGGTTGAGAAAAAGAAGGGGGAGCAGGAGATGAAGGAGGACGGGGAACTGGAGGATGAAGGATGAAAGATGAAGAGATGAAGGTGGAGGAAAAAGGAGGACGGGGGAACAAGGAATGAAGGATGAAGGATTAAGGGTAAAGGAAGAAGGGGAATTGAGAAGGGAAGGAGGGAGGTAGGAGGGAGGATGATGGAGAGGAAGAGGAAAAGCCTACAGAGCTACA